CAATACAGCAAAAAAAAAAAAAAAAAAAAAAGAAAAAAGAAACTAAATTAAAAATAAAATGTACAATTCAGTCTGGGGTGCAACTCAGTGAGAGAGTCCATGGCATGGGTGCAAATCTTAGCACAAACAAACACAAACAAAAAACCAGTTCAATAGTTTTTAGTGTGTTCAGAGTTGTGAGACATCACACTCTTTTAGAACATTTGTATCAGTGTTGGAACACAGCTCTGAACCTGTTAACAGTTACTCCTCATTCCCTCCAACCTCCCCAACCCCACCGGGGCCTTGGCAAGCACTAATCTACTTTCCCTCTGTATAAATTTGCTCATTCTGGAACGGTTTCTATAAATGGACCCATATTCGATTTGGTTCTTTGTGACTGGCCTCTGTCACCTAGCATAATGTTTTAAAGTCCATTCATGAATGACAACTCATTCTTTTCATGGCTGAATAAGTATTCTGTTGTACGGCTCCACCCGATTTTGTTCATCCACTCATCAGTCAACGGCCATTTGGGGCTATTATGAAGAAAGCTGCTCTGAACACCTGCATACATGGGTTGTGTGGGCAAATGTTTTTGTTTCTCTTGGGTATGTACCTAGGACTGGAATTGTGGGCCCTAAAGCAAATCTATGCTTAACCTTCTGAGGAACTGCTAGAATTTTTGACATTTCTACCACAGTGCAAGAAGGTACCAACTTCTCCACACCCTCACCAATATTTATTGTATACTTTTTTTTTTTTGACAGCTCCCTGTGTAGTCCAGGCTTTCTTAAACTCAAATCTTCCTGCCTCCTGGGATTACAGGTATGTACTACTATGCCCCTCATGTTATACATATTTAATATAGGTATCCTGGTGGACATGAAGTGGTTTCACTGTGCTTTGTTTTTCTTTTTGTTTTGATGGCACTGGGGTTTGAACTCAAGGCTTGACACTTGCTAGGCAGGTGCTCTTACTGATTGAGCCACTCTGTCGGCCCTTTTTTGTGATTTTTTTTTTTTTTTTTGAGATAGGGTCCAGAACTATTTGCTGGGGGGCTGACTTTGAACCTTGTGATCCTCCTGATCTCTGCCTCCTGAGTTGCTAGGATTACAGGCGTGAGCTACCCATGCCCAGCTCATTGTGCTTTTGATTTGCATTTCCTGATGGCTAATGATGTTGGGCTTTTTTTCTTTTTTTCTTTTTTTTTTATTATTCATATGTGCATACAAGGCTTGGGTCATTTCTCCCCCGGCATTTTTTCTTATGCTTATTATAAAATCCTTAATCCGATACATCTTTTGCAAAAAAAACTTACCCCCCACTTTTGTGTTGTCTTTTTCACTTTCTTGATGTTAATTTTTTTTTGGGGGGGTGGGGCTGGGGTTTAAACTCAAGGTTTCACACTCACCAAGCAGGTGCTCACAAAGCAGGTGCTCTACCACTTGAGCCACACCTCCAGTCCATTTTGTAAGGCAAATGTAAGCCCCAAAATGACCAGGTGGAGAGGAGTAATCTGGCCAAGAGATTCTTTATTGCCGGGTGGGAGAGGGAGGAAGCCGAGAGAGAGAGAGAGAGAGAGAGAGAGAGAGAGAGAGAGAGAGAGACAGACAGACAGACACAGACACACACACACACAACACACACACACACACACAGATGCTTAAATACTCCTCAGTGGGACTCAGCTTGATCTGATTGGTTAGGATCTTATGGTTCATGCTGATTGGAGGTTGGGGCAGAAGGAGGATTCAAGCTAGACTTGAGGCAGGACCATGACCCTGGAAAACAGAAGCTTAAGGGTGCAGTAAGAACCGAAATCTATCAGCGCCATTATTGCCAACACATTTTGCTCTGGTTATTTTGGAGATGAGGTCTGACCTTGAACCTGGATCCTCCAGATCTTAGCCTCCCAAGTAGCTAGGATTACAGAGGTGAGCCACCAGTGCTTGGCTTTCTTGATGGCCGTTGATACATGAAAGTTTTAAAGATTGATGGTGCCCAGTTTGTTATTTTGTTCTTTTGTTGCTTGTGGCTTACACTTTTTCTCTCCCATTTCTGGGTATCAAACCCAGGGCCTTGTGCGTGCAAGACAAGCATTCTACCACTGAACTACATCCCCAGTCAACACTTTGAGAAGCCTTACTCAAATGTGACTTGGAACTCCGAGGCTTTATTTATTTTTATGCTATTATTATTATTATTATTATTTTTGCATTACTGGGGCTTGAAGTCAGGGTCTACACCTTGAGCCACTCCAGCAGCCCTTTTTTGTGATGGGTTTTCTCCAGATAGGGGCCCGTGAACTATTTGCCCAGGCTGGCTTGGAACTGCAATTCTCCTGAATTCTGTCTCTGAGTACTCTGAGGCTTCAGAACTCAGAGCTTAGTAGTGTTTTGGGGGGATGATCTTTGGGGAGGATTTCTCCCATGTTTGGGATTTCATCCCTCTGTTGTAGCAAGCTGTGGCTCCTTCTTGTAGCTAGAGAACAGAATCTCCAGGGACCTTCCCTGTGTTTACATCCCCTCCCTCTCCTGAGGTCTACCACAATAGAGCAGCTGAAATGACAGTTTGGAAATGTCCTTTATTGTGAAAACTCAATGCCCTTTGTCTCTGGGATTTAAAATTTTCATGCAAGTGTTGGCAGTGAGGAGGGGAAGAGATGAGAGAGAAACCCTGCCACTGATTTCCATAGTGAGTCATCCTAACTCTTGGTTGTTTTGATTTTCTCACCCATAAAATGGGGAGAACACCTCCGTTTCCCCATCCTCGTGGGGGGGGGTGCTATGAAGGCGAATTAATCTGTGTTTGTTAGGATACTGTGAGATCTTAGATTAAAGGCGTTACTGAGGTTCAAGGTATTATTATAACAATAAATGATTTAATAGCATGTTGAGGCCGGGAAGCAAGAAATGCTAGGAAGAAGACAGGCTTGGAGTGGTGGAGAGGCTGTAGCTTGGAGCACCCCCAGCCCACAGATTCTTTTTCTTGAAGGGGAGAGTATGTGATTTTTCACAAACTCTTTGGGTTATTTCATCTGGCTTCAGCATAGCTTTATTGAACGCCTCCTACACGATTTCTGCCATAGTGAGATTACAGTCTTTTCTGGAAATAGGAGATATAAATTAAAACAGTTAGAAACAATGCAAGACTTTACAATGAATTGCTGGGTTGAGTGTAACAAGTGTCAGAAAGAAAGCAGAGAAGGAGGTGATCAAAAGCAGAGTTCTTCTATTATAACTTCCACGTCTACTGCCCACTAGTTGTTTGACCTTGCCTCAGTTTCTCCTGCTGTAACTGCAATTGTTCTTGCAAAGCACTTAGAATAATGGGTAATGCACCCTAAGCACTCAATGTGGGACCCACCTAGGCTCTCCTGGGACTGTGCTTTGGCTGATTATGTGATCACAGTAAGCTGTTCCATCTTCTGAGCCTCAGTATTCTCTCTGCAAAATGACCTCACAGTGTTTGTAAAGTGTTGCAAGCATGGTAAGCTTTCACTAAATGATAGTTATTATTGCTGTCATTAACACTGTTACCTGCCCTAGCTGAGGAGTGAGGGGTGCATTCACAAGTGGCTTTAGTGAAACCAGGGGGCTTCTCTGAGGAGGTGGTCAGGAAGGGTATGTTAGGAATCAAGTGATCAGAGAAGAAAGCAGACATAGAGGCGGAAGCTTGAGAAGCCTGAGGATGGTCTGTCCTCGGAAGGTCGCAAGGGACTGGGGCTTCTCATTTTTCTTCCCGCTGGGAGCTGTGTCCAGTGAAGCCCACGTGCCTTTCTGCAATCCCGGCTTTCACCTGCGCGGCTCGCTAGTCTGGTGCTCTGCAGGCCTAGAACAGGACCCTTCCTCCCTCAGGAATGTGGGCCCCGCTTTAGGAACCCGCCAGGCCGAGTGCCTCCTGCAGTCACAAGCGAGGACGCCCAGTTGTCTTCACCCCACCCTCCGCCAGGATCCGGTTTCAAAGTCACCTGAAAGCCATTTCCTCCCGCAACGCTCCGCCCCTCCCCTCCCGGTAAATCACCGGGAGCTGGCTTTTGCCCCGAGCAGCGATTTTTTAAAGTGTGTGTGTAATCAATGAGAGTCGTTCCTCCTTCGGGTCCCACTCAGGATTAATATCTCCCTGGCTTATTTTGGGGCAGCATCTTGTTCCCCAGGATCTTTACTGATGAATTATTACAGGTTTTTAGATTTATGGTCTTGCTCAAAATCCAGCCCATCGGTACTGAATGTCCTTGTAACCCACCTTCACCTCCCCTTCTCAAAGTTCCGGCGTTTGCGCCTTTCTCTGCGTACAGATGGAAGGTTCCGTCTCTGTTTTACAAAACTGGGGTCCTCTATTTACCCAGGTTTCTGCATCGTGTTTTTCCCACTAACAGCTCTTCGTAGGACTTCTCCCCCCCATACCAAATTATCAGCTTCTTTATCTCTCTCCTGCTCTTTACTCAAGTTTGGGTTTACATCTATAAAGGGCCACAGAGCCCTAGTTGCAGTGAGGAATTCGAGAAGTGCCTGACTCACAGCGGCAGAGGTGACCTGCTCCGGTAGGATCAGGATCTCTACGTCCAACCCCGACGGCTGCCTCACTTGAGACAGCCCCCTTTCCTGGGCCTGATAGTCCCAATCCGTACAGTGGAGGTGTCAGGCCTGTGACACCAGGGTGACCCCCCACCACGTGACATTGGATAGCTCAGCACATCTATAGGTTTTCGGGTAGGGCTGGCGGCAGGCGAGGCCTACACCACTGGGCCACACTCGCCGCACCTGCGGGCGTTAATCATTAGCCTTGCCGAACCTCCCCACAACCGCTGCCCTCAACTCGGGCCCCGGCTCTCAGCGCCCCAAAGGTTCCCCCGGCCCCCGCCGAGCTGCCGATTGCTGGATTCCAGCAGCGATCGAGTCTCCACCCACTGGAAAAATTCCTGGTCCGCCCCTCCCTCGTTCCCTCCCTCGCTCCCTCCCTCACTCCCTCCCTCCCGGTGCTTCCAGGGCTCGGCTCAACCCCGACTTCCTGCCGCGCGCTGGGAAGCCGCGCGCAGACTTGGGTCCCCAGAGGACGCGCTCGCAGCTTGTGGCGTCCCCGACCGTGGACACCGGCTCGCAGACCCGCTGGCAGTGGGCGGGAGCAGCCGGTAGCCTCAGCCCCTTCCGAGAGCGACTTTCAAACTCTTGCCCGCGTCGCGGCGCCACCTGGGCAGCCGAGCGCGCCGTGCCGGTCCGGAGCCAGCCGGGTGGCCACCGATCGGTGAGTATCCTTCGGTTCTTTCCTTCTCCCTCTGCCGGTGTGCAGTCGGCGAAGTGGCAGTACCTTGAGTTACGCTGGGTCCCTGCCCTCCAGGATCCCCGCTCCAGTTACTGTGGGTTGAGGACCTGGGGCCACCGTGGAAGGGCCCGGGCTGTGTTCGGGGTGACCCTCCCAGCAGAGCGCCAGAGCGCGGGAGAAGACATTTTCTGTTTTTTTAGCCCCCACCCCGGAAACAAAAGGAGCGAATGCTCCGGGTGGCTCCGCAGAGGGTCAGTTTAAAATCCGGGAAGCCCGCGAGGCTGCGCCCACCCACTCCGGGCGCGCGCCCGTGGGCGGGTCCTGGCTTGGGGCTGTGGACCTTTCTGGGGAAGGACTCGAGCCTCTGGTCCCCCGATCTCGTGAGACGCAGGCACGCAGCCTGTTCCGGGTTAGTGCCACTCGGTGCTCGCTCTTGGGAATCTCCGCTCCCTGACCAGGCGGGGTAGAGTGGGTGCCAGAAACCGGGTGTGGGGGAGCTGAAAGGAACAAGCGGCTGTCTGCCACTGACTGCTCGCCCTCACCCACTCCTGCAATATGGGTTTGGCCACTTTCACCCTACTTCCATTCCACTTTCATCCCTTTGATTTGAGAAGCCAGGATAAGATGTGCAAGCTTGAAATGTCAAGACGTTGCTTAGGTAGCTACTTTAATCTAGAACTGTTTTTGAAAACAAAAGGAAAAACAGAGAAATGGAGGCTGGAGAGATGTGGCTTTGTGGGGGGAGGTGATAAAGGGAGGTAAGAGAAATGGAGGCTGGAGAGATGTGGCTTTGTGGGGGGAGGTGATAAAGGGAGGTAAGAGTCTCATAATGGAGGTCACTCGCTGAGTTGTTGGCAGATGTAGGGGCCCATCCGTTGTTCAGAGGTCCCCAGCAGGCGACCCGGACTGCATGACATTACAGAGAATCCTGGCCTGGGGGTTCCCGGGCTCTTCCCAGCCATGCCTCTGCACGCAGCTCAATCACATGGCCCTTGCTCAAGAAATAATAAGCAGGGAGAGTAATGACAGTCTGGAGAGGAAGAGCACAACAGCTGCCTGGCCCTTCCAGCTCCTCCTTTGCTGGACTGGGAGTGGAATCCTGCACCTCTGAACCCCAGTGGTTCCCAGCAGAAAACATAGGGAGTAAGAACCTAAAGAAGGTGAACAGTTCTCTCTTACTCTTATGCTGTAGTTCTGGGCTCATCTTGGTTAGCTGCCTCATCTTTCCTTTGTACACCTGCTGTTAACGTTATTGCTACCTTGCTGCCCTTTTCCTTCCTGGACAGCTCTTTGGCTCCCTAGGGATGGGGCCTGGATTCCGGATGAAGTAAACCCCCAGGCCAAGTCTGAGAGAGAGAGATTTGTTTAAGAGCTCCTTTGGGACTTTTCTATTGCTTTTTTTTGTGGGACCAGGGTTTGAACTCAGGGCTTGGGGCTTGCAAAGTAGGCACTCTGCTGTTTGAGCCACACCTCCAGTCCATTTTGCTGTGATTATTTTGGAGGTCTCAAGAACTTTTTGCCCATGCTCGCATTGAATTATGACCCTCCCAATCTCAGCCTTCCAAGTAACTAGGATTACAAGCGTCAGTCACCAGCGCCCACCTTCTATTGCCTTTTTATTGTAAGTGGCATGGCAGTGAGAGTTGAAGGAGCACTGAACTGACAGTCCAGCCTGAGTTTTAGTCCTGGCATTAAAGACTGATGGAGGAGTCGCTGGGGCTGGAATGCCAGTCAGATTGACCTACTCCATTTACACTTGAAGGGAGCAGGGCCCAGAGAGTGAGGTGATTTCAGCCTGGGACACTATTGGCCAGACAGGGACCAGAGCTCAGATTTCCTCACTGTCTAAGCCCTGCTTTTCTTGGACATGACCTGCCTGGCCAATTCACTTCTCTTTGCTGACTCAGTTTCCACATGAAACTTACTTGCCTGCTTTTCTTTATGGAAGGATCAAATGGAAATTTGTATGTGCAAAGTGCTCTATAAGCTCCTATTCAGCCCCCCTTTCCCCCAAAAATGCATGGTGGGTGGAAGGGCACCTCACAGGCTTTACAGTTTACTGGCTATGTCCTATATGTGCCACAAGGAGATGGTAGACAGCAGCAGCCAGTGGTGGAAGTGTAATCCCCTAGTCTGAAATATCGCAGCTCCAGTGTAAACACTGGCCTTACCAAATCCACTGCTATCCCAGGGTCACTGTGTTTACACCAGAGCAGGCCAAAGGCCATGCCCTGAGACATGGGCAGAGCTGGAGTGGAAAGGTTCAGTGTTGCAGAAGTATGGCCTGCCCACCACTTCCTTGTGAAGCTTTGGCTGCAAGCCTGGGAGGTGGGCACAGCCCTGGCTGGGCTCTGGCCAGGGAGGGTTAATCGTGAAGCTTTTCTCTTGTGTTGCGGGTGGAGGGGACTCTGGAGATTGGAGGGGGTCGCCTCTGCAGCTGCATGGAGGGCTGTCTTCAGCTTCTCATCTGTATCTCCTCTCCCTCCCCCTTCTGCCCTCCCAGGCTGCCCCCTTGGCCCAGGCCACTGCCTTGTCCCGCCTCTGTCCAGCTGCATCTCCACAGGCTTTTGTTCCAGGACTGCAGCCCGCCTGCTCCCTACTCTCCTTCCCCAGCTTCTGGAAGCCCTCAGGCTGGGGGCCTGGTAGCTGGAAATCACTACCATCTGCAAAACGCCCTAGGGCACCTAGCAGACCCTCATTTCCTCTCATCAGGTCAGACTCATCTTGGGGCCCCTAACTCATGCCTGACCAGATTCTCTCACTGTCTTTTCTCAGTCTCCTTTTCTTCCCTTTTATACATTCATGCCTCTTTGTTCTATTTTTTGTATTCATTTATTCAACAATTATTTAGCACTTACTGTGTGTAAATACTGGGCACTGGGGACACAGCAATGAATAAAATACAGTCACTGTTCAACAATCATTGGCCTCATGAAGCTGACTTCTAGTGGGAGAAGCTGACAATAAACAAGATGATTGAAATAGAGTGTTAGTGATAGCAGAGAAATATGAAAGGGAACTGTCAGGGGTGAGATGACAGTTTTGGGGGAGGGGTGGCCAGGAAAGGTTCCCGGAGGAAGAGACTTTTGAGTGATGCCCAGAGGAGGCATTTTCCTTCAGCTCTGATTTCCCTGCCTGAAACCCAGTTCAGCATCCCCCTGCAAAGACATATAGGAGCAGGGTTTGGAGTTGGACACACCTGGGTTCAAATCCCAACCTGACAGCTCTCATAAGTCCTGCACCCTTGACATGAAGCTCAGCTCCTTTGAGCCTGGTTCTCACCTGTAAAGTGGAGTTAGTCATCATACCTGGCACATGTGGCATTGTGAGAATGAACAATGAGATATTGTGTGTTCAGTGCTTAGCAAAGCCTGAACTGGAGAGGTGTGCAATGAATTATTTCTCTAACCAAGTCCTGTAGGGGCAGCATGGTCTATGTCATGCCAGTGCTAAGAGCTCTGGATGAAGAGCTTTTCATGTGAGCTATTGGACAGGAGGGGGCCAAAGGCAATGAAAACAGAAGACCCAAGCAAATCCTTTCTAGCAATGAGCCTTTTCTGTCCTACCCTGGATTGCAGATGTTTGAAGATGCAGGACCCCAGATGTGTGCTGGCCCTTGCCTCTGGGTTAGATAGAATGACCTAGGGCAGCCCTGATCCTCTCTTGTGCTGGAATTCCCCCTGCTTCCAGCCAGTGGATGAATCACACCTTTGTCTTGGCCTCCCCACTTGGCCTCACAGCTATGAAGGCTGTCCCCCCCTCCTCAACATCATGTAGATAAGATTTGCTGGAGGGGAGGGGATTGAAGAGGGGCACATGGTGGGTGGGGCTGTTCCAGAAGAGCCCACAGAGGTGGCAAGAGGTTTCTGATGGAGGATCTGAGGCAACCCTGCAAAGAGCAAGGACCAGAATTAATTATTATTTTTGGTGATACTGGGATTTGGACTCAGAGCCTAGATCTTCCTAGGCAGGCGCTCTACCACTTGAGTAATGCCCACAGCCTTAGAATTAATTTTTGAGGTAGAGTCTTGCTAGCAGAGGTCCTTCTGCCTCAGCCTCCCAAGTGGCTTGGACTGTAGGTGCCCTCTACTATGCCGGGCTAGGGATTTAAGTAACAGAATGACAGATAACAGTGAGAGCTTAGAGTCAGGCCTGCCTAGCTCTAAACTGCTTCCTCTCAGCTCATATGAGGCTCTTCCCCTCTCTACTAGAACCATGGCCCTGAAAAGAGTGTAATCTAAAATGCTGTTGTCAAAATTTGTGGTGAGCAGTTTCCTGGGGGCCCTGTCCTGGCTCAGGAAGTAAGTGATGGGCTGTGGAGGGTGAGGCCCAGGGATGTGGTCATCAGGCACACCACTCGCCTGATGGCTCGCTGCACACACGAGGGACAGTCGGGTCCTCCCTGTGATGAAGGAACTTTTGGAACTTGGCAGTTGGGGCAAAGCTAGATATAATTTGGCCTTACAGGAGGTTGGAAAGTGGGCACCGAACAGCCCCAAGCATGTTTGTAGTGTTGAAATCAGGAGAAAGAAAAGTAGGTAGGGTCCAACCTGTGATCAGCAGGAGACCAGTCGGAGAGGCTGGTAGCCCCTCTGAAGGTCAGCTGTCTGGGGACACAGGCTGGCCTTGCCAACCAGGTCTGGGCTGTGTTGGCTTGGTTTTGATTAGAAGCTCTCGGAGGGCAGGAGTGGTGTTTGAATACTCGTTATTCCCATATGGCATTGAGAACAATATAGTGTGATCCACAGGGCATGGCTCATGCTGGGGCCCTACCCTGAGAGTAATCCAGGCTTGATGGTCCTGTCTGCCCCAGTGTTTGTTCCACTGGGCTGGGGGAAGAAGGCAGTGGTAGGGATCAAGTCCAGCCTGGGTGGGCAAACAAAAGGAAGAGCAGAGCTTTGTACAGTTCTCAGTGGCTGGCCTTTGGGGAGGGAGCTGGATTTAAGCTCAAGGATTAGGAGGACTCCTCCTCTAATTGTGGCTGAACTCAGAACTGAATAGGGTTCTAGCAAGGTGCCATGGTGGCTGCGCATGCAGCCTTTTGCAAAATACAGTGAGGGTCCTTGAAGTTGTCTAATTATTGGTAGAATGAAGTTGAGATGTAAGAGTGAAGTCTCTTTTACTATGGTTACAGGATCCCAAGAAGAGAGGTGGGTTCTGCAGGCATTGGGTGCTCCCCAGACTCTGAGACTGTGTGTGTGTGTGTGTTAACCAGAGGCTCTTGAGCAACCTATGACAAGTACTTATTGAAAGGAAAAGGGAACCAGCATCCACACTGCTTCTGTCCATCCAGCTCATCGCTATACCCCCAGTGTCTGTTGTATGGAGGATTCCAATAACTACTTGTCAATAGGCAAAATGCTACTGTGTGATAAAGCCTTAGGAGTTAAAGCCATTTTCATGCCCCTTACAAATGGTCTATTCCTGTCAGAAAGTGGCCAAGAAATAAGATTCTAAGAGATTAACCGTGGCCAGCTGTACCTGCAGTGGGATAGGCAGCCCTGTATTCCTACAGCCTGCAAAGTGTAAGGGGACCTGGAGTCACTGGAGCCTCCTGCAGAGTTTGCCACCATGCAAGTTGGGCCCAAAGGGGGCAACAGAGTATGCTTATAGCTTTGGAGATATATCCCATAATATGTCCTGCAATATATCGTGATACTGCCTTGCAGTGACCCAGTAGCCTTACTTATTTGCATATAGCCAAGAAGGCCTCAAGTCAACCTGGGAGGGACTGAGGTTCCTACGAAATTCACACGAGCCTCCTCAGACCCTGTTTAACTTTTTCATCCAAGCTGTGTCATCCTATTTCTGAGCCCACTGCGGATAAGAAACAGCAAATGAAAGAAACCAGAACAGAGAGGGAAAATGACCACAGCCCAATAAAAAGCAGGCTAAGATCAAAACAGTAGGAAAAGCCAGTCCTAGCGGAAGAACCAGGGTCATTTGTTTAGGGGGGTGGCTTGGCACTCCTCAGGAGACCATCAGTGTGATAGAGGATGCTTTGCTGGTAATTGTGACCCTGAGTCATCAAGAAAGGGCTAAATTATGTTTCCTTGTCTCTGTTCAGAAGGCAGGGAAGTGTATAACATATTTTTAAAAGATTCCTAGTCACATTGGTCGAAAGGTGTTGATGCTTAGGTACTATCACAAATCCTCTCAATACAAAAGAAATGGTGCTACCCTCCCTTCCACACATACACACACACACACACACACACACACACACACAAGGAAACCGAGTCTCCTCAAGGTTGGGTAATTTGTTCAAACTCACTCAGCTTGGTAGGGATGAGATTTGAAATTCCCTCCCCTCTCCCATACTGTTTTGAAACAATGCACCCTTAAAACTGTGGCTTTTTTATTTTTACAGTACTGGGGTTTGAACTCAGGGCCTCACACTTGCTAGGAAGGTGCTCTACCACTGACCCACCCCACCAGCACTTTTTTGTGATTTTTTTTTTTTTTTCAAAATAAGGTCTCCCAGACTATTTGCCCAGGGCTGGCTTTGAACGGAGATCCTCCTGATCTCTGGTTCTTGAGTGGCTAGGATTATAGGCGTGAGCCTTTGGTGCCAGGCAAAAAGTGTGACATTTTGGACAGCTCTCTGTCCACAGGGGATCCAGCTAGCTGGGATCTGGGTTCCAGTATGGATGGGATGGGTCCAACCTTAATTAGTTCCACCCAAGCAGATTGCCAGTTATCTAAAATGGTGCTTGCCTCAGTTGAAACAAGAATACCTTCCATGCACTTAAGCACTTATCTGCTGCCACACAGCACTTTCTGAGGCCAGAAAATGACAGGGGTTGCTGTAAACTAAACAATTCCAGACCTCTTTCTTTCCAGCAGGAGCTGTGTGCCTTTGTTTGGGTTCTGGATGCTGCTGGCACATGCTGAGCTGTGCTGTCTTGGTGCTAGTTGTTCCTGCTTAACGACCCCTACCCCACTTCCTACCACTCAGTCCAGCAAGTGCTAATTTTTCATACATACTTCTCATTTATTATAAAGATAAAATGTTACAGATGTAAGGGAAGCTTATTTTTTCTTCCCTTTTCTCTTCCTTCCCTCCCCAGAAGTAACACTTCCTAAATATGGTGTTTGATATTTTATTAGGTTTTTGTTTTATTTTAGAGTACTGGGGGGAGGTTGAACTTAGGACCTTGAACTTGCAGGCAGGCACATTACCACTGAACTGTTCTGCCAGCCCTTTTTGTGTTGCTTATTTTTGCACTAGGGTCTTATTTTATCCCCAGGCTAGCCTGGACCTTGATCCTCCTGCTTATGCTTCCCCACTTAGCGATGATGATGGGGCATCACTGTGCGCAGCTATTGGTTGAGATGGGGGTGTCATGAACTTTTTGCCCTGAGCTGGCCTCCAACCATGATCTTCCTCATTTTTGCCTCCCGACTTGCTAGTATTACAGGTGTTAGCTACCTCAAACAGCCATACATTTAGTAGTTTTAAGTAATCAATAATATTGTGTTGTTTTAATTTTTGACATATATAGGGTTGTGCTGAATATATTCTTGGACTTGTGTTCTTTTTTTATCCAGTGTTGTTTTTCAGAACTATCCATGTTGATCTGTTTAAATCTAGTCATCCTAACTGCTCCGTGGCATCTTTTGTGCAATTATATCACAGTTCCCCTGTTGCTGGGCACGTAGGTTGTTTCCATGTTCCATTACTGTAGATAATGCTGGGTTGAACGCTCACGTGTTGATCTTCTCTAGGGTGTGGGCCCACAGTGGGATCACTCGGTCATAAGGTGGGCTTTTCAAAATATTGCCCCCAAATGATTTGCAGCTTATTTGTATTCTTAGTAGAAAAATGATAGCTCCTGTTTCATGAGCATTTGAATTGTGTCTTCTAACCTGTGGATATGGAATGGTAGTTTTAAATTGTTTTAACAATTAGCACTTAGATTACAGATAAGGGTGAGTACTTGTGTATCTGTTTTTGCCTTCTATGTTAAGAAAAAAATTAACCAGGTCATACATCCATGTGATTCATACTGTATAACGGAGTTCTGTGAAGTCCCCCAGTTCTTTCCCCTAGTCACCTAGCTCCCATCTGATCCGTGTCACAGGCTTGTATCCTTTCTCAGAGGCAATTCTGTCTTTTGTGGATTCTTAACTGTCATTGTCTTTTTCTTACTGACTTCTAGGAGTTAATACACACGTGCGTGTATATATGTCTTAAATAATGAATACTTTGTAGGTTATATACATTATATATCTGTGAATTGTCTTAACATTATTAAAAATAATGTTTTGTTTTGTTTGTTTTTTATGATGGGATCTTGCTGTGCAGCCCAGGCAGGCCTCTAACTCTTGATCCTCCTGCCTCAGCCTCCTAACTGGTAGAATTATAGGTATGCCCTACTTTGCCCCACTGGGAAGTTTTAATTTTAATGTTGCCAGATTTACCAATCTTTTGTTTCTACTTTGTGTCTTATTCAAAAAATTCTTTCTGGACGAGGGGGTGTAGCTCAGTGGTAGAGTGCTTGCCTAACATGTGCCACCAAAGGAAAAAGAAGAAGAAGAAGGGGCTAGAGGAATGGCTCATGCAGTAGAGTGCCTGCCTAGCAAGCATGAAGCCCTGAGTTCAAACCCCAGTACCACCAAAAGAAAAACAAAACTAAAAAAATCAAAAAGAAAGAAATCCTTTCTTGCTCTGATTTTATAAATATACATGTTAATATATTTTCTTTTAGCTATATTGTTACATATTTAAAATGTAATAGCCCATGAATTTTTTTATAAATTTCAGTGTTTCTCCCACACTTAGGTTTTAATTCATCTGGAGTGTGTGCTTCTATCTGATGCTGGTTTCCAGCCTGGCTATATATGGGGCCTCACTAGGAGCTGATACCCAAGCCTCACTTCTGATCATACCAAGAGAATAAAAGCATCTGGATGTGAGGCCCAGGCCTGGATGAAGCGCCCCAGGTAGGTTTTCTTTTTTGGCTTCATGCTTACTAGGCAGGCACTCTTATAGCTTGAGTCACTTTGCTAGCCCCCCCACGTAGGTTTTCTGTGTAGCCATGGTTCTATGTAGCCATGGTTGAGAACCACTCAACTGATGAGACTGATTTTATTTTTTCCAGAAGAATAGCCAATTTTTCCAGCCTTGGTTTTTCAGTGGTCCATACTTTTCCTACTAATTTGTTTTAAAAATATTTTTCTTTTGCGGGGTGCCAGCGGCTCATATCTGTAATCCTAGCTACTTGGAAGGCAGAGATCAGGAGAATTGAGGTTTGAAGCCAGCCTGGGCAAATAGTTCTCAAGACTCTATCTCAAAAATATCCAATTAAAAAAAAAAAAGGGTTGCCAGAATTGCTCAGCTGGTAGATCACCTGCCTAGCCAGCCATGAGGCCCTGAGTTCAAACCCTAGTACTACCAAGAAATTTTTTTCCTTTTGTTCTATGTAGCTTCATTGAAATATATTTCACATATCTTTAAATTCACTCACACACAGTAGAGTAAATTCACAGAGTTTTTCAACCATCACTGCTACCTAAAGAAATTCTGTAACCGTTAGCAGTCATTTTCCCCAGCCTTCAGCCCTAGGCAACACTAATGTCCTTCCTGTCTCAAGATTTTCCTATTCTGGACATTTCCTATAACTGGATTCATACTATGTGGTCCTTTGTAACTGACTGCTTTCACTTAATCTAATGTTTATCTGTATTGTAGAAAGTACTTCAGTTTTTAATTGCTGATTAATATTGCTGTTAATATTCGGGGCATATTATACTCTGTTCACATATTCATGTATCAAAGGGCATTGGATTGTTTCCACTTTCATGACTATGCACGTTTTTGTGTGGACATATATTTTTAATTCTCCTGGTTACACACCTAAGAGTAGACTCGCTAGATCATATCATGTGGTAGCTCTTTGTTTAACTTTTTGAGGAGCTGCTGAATTCTATTGTGCCTTCCCACAGTAGTTGGCTTTTTACCACTGTGACAAATACCTGAGAGAAACAATTTAAAAGAAGAGAAGATTTATTTTGGCTTGTGGTTTCAGTCCGTGGTGGGCTGGTTTCATTGCTTTGGGCCTGTGATAAGGTAGAGTCTTATACCGAAAGGGCAAGATAGAACAGAGGTACTCACCTCTTGGTGGCCCGGAAGCAGAGATAGGGAACAGGAAGAGGCCAGGGACACCATACACTTCAAAGGTACGGCCCTAGTCACCTATGTCCTCCAGCCAGACTCCATTGACCAGTTTCTAGTACCTCCCAAAATAACACCACCAGCTGGGGACCAAGCCTTCAGCACCTGAGTCTATAGGGGACATTTCAGATACCATTTTTTTTTTGGCAGGTACTGGGGTTTGAACTCAGGGCCTCGTGCTTGCTAGGTAGGTACTCTATCACATGACCCACTCTACCAGCCCTATAAGGGACATTTCATATTCAAACCATAACACTAACAATGTACAAGGGCTTTATTTCACCAAGTTCTTGCCAACACTTGTTATCGTCCATCATTTTGACTGTTGTCATCTCGTGGCTATGGAGTAGCACTAACTGGTTTTGATTTGCATTTCCTTAATGACTAATCACGTCGAGTAGCTCTTCATGTGCTTATCGGCCATTTCCATTTCTATATCTTTGGAGAAGTTTATTCAAATCCTCCCCCCCAACCTTTTTTTTTTTTTTTAATACTGGGTTTGAATTCAGGGCCTTGCACTTGCTAGGCAGGCTCTCTACCACTTGAGCTACACTCCCAGCCCTATTTTGCTTTGGCTATTTTGAGGATAATGGTTTCACTTTTTGCCTGGGGCTGACCTTGGATAGACATGCACCACCATGCCCAGCTTATCGGTTGAGATGGGTTCTCCCTAACTTTTTGCCCGCATTGGCCTTGAACTGTGATCCTTCTGATTTCTAGCTCCCAAGTGGCTGGAATTATAAGCTAGAGATACCATGTCTAGCTTTGACCATTTTTAATTTGGGCTGTTGATCTTTTTATTGTTGTAAGTGTTCTTAATATATCTGGATATAAGTCTTTTGTCAAATATATCACTTACATGTACTTTTTCTCATTCTCTGATTTGTCTTTTTACTTTTGTAAGCCCATTGAAACAGAAAAGCTTTTTAAAAATTAATTAATTAATCTTCTTTTATTTATATGTGCATACAATATTTGGGTCATTTCTCCTCTCTTCGAAAAGCTTTATTTTTGATGGAGTCCAATTTATCTTTTTTATTTTTGTGTACTTTTGTTATTATACGTAAGAAACTATTGCTCACCCAAAGATTTACTTGTATCTTTTCTTCTGCGAGTTTTATAGTTTAAGCTTTTATATTAAGGTCTATGATCCATTTTGACTTTTTGTGTGTGGTGTGAGATGGTTATGTGAATTCATTTTTTTCCTTGCATGTGACTATCCAGTTGTCCTGGCACCATTTATTGAAAAGGCTATTCTTTCCCTGTTGAATTGTCTTGACCCCTTGTTGAAAATCAGTTGACTGTAAATGTAAAGTTCGTTTCTGAACTCTCAGGTCTTTTCCATTGATCCGTATGTCTGTTCTTATGCTGGTACAGCACAGCCTTGTAACTGTAGCTTTGTAGTAGGTTTTGCAATTGGGGAGTGAGTATATATGTCCTCCGACTTTGTTCTTTTTCAAGATTGTTTTGGCTATTCTATGCCTTTTTTCCATATGAGTTTTAGAATTAGCTTGTCAGTTTCTGCAAAAAGCCAGCTAGGATTTTGATAGGCAGAGATGGTGCCAAATCTATAGACCAATTTGTCAAGTATTGCCATCAATAGCAATTGTAAATGTTCCACTGTGGATAGAATATGGAATGACTGTCCATTCATTTAGTGTTTTGTAATTTCTTTCAACAATGTTTTGTGGTTTTTAGTGTATAAGTCTTATGTTCCTCCCTCTCTCCCTTCTTCTTTCCCTCCCTCCCTTCCTTCTTGAGTGTTTTTATTATGGGAACATGTTGGCTTTTGTTAGCTGGCTCTGTTGAGATAATAGATAGTTTTTGTACTTTATTATCTTGAATTCAAAAATCATTTGAGTTTTGGATGCTAACACCATCTTGCATTTCCAGAATAAATCCTATTTGGTCACATTGTATATTCCTTTGCATATGTGGCTGTATTTAGTTTATTAGTATTTTGTAGAGAGTTCTTATTTCTGTATTCATAAAGGATATTGGGATTTAGCTTTATTTTCTGTGATGTCTTGCCTGGGCTTGATAGTAGGGGTAGCACTGGATTCAGAGTGGGTTGGGAAGTGTTACCTCTTCTCCTATTTTTTGGAAGAGTTTGTGAAGAATTGGTATTAATTCTTTAAATATTTGGCAGCATTCACCAGTAAGGCCACCTAATTCAGGACTTTTCTTTATTGGAAATTTAAAAAATCCCTAGTTCAATCTCTTTATTAGTTGTCTCTTCAGATTTTCTGGCTCTTCCTGAGTCTGTGGTTTGCATCATTCTAATAATTTATCATGTTCATTGGCATATATTGTTCATGGTATTCCTGTAGTCCTTTTTTGTATTCTGCATTTATCTCACAATGTTGTTGGAGTGTGCCTTAAGTCTAAGGACTAATGTCTATTTTCAGTTCTGGAAAACGCATATACATTATCTCTCTGAATTTGCTTCTTCTCCATTCTTTTCTTCTTATAAAACTGTGGGCCTCTAAGTCTCTTAATGTTCATATTTTCTAATCCTATGTCTTCGTACTAAATTCAGGATGACTTCCTCAGTTCATTTTTCATTTCACTAATTTTCTCTTTAGCTGTATGTAATTTCTATTCAACCTAACTGTTGGTTTTAAATTACATCATCATATGTTTCATTCCATTCTTTCTAAATGGTCTGTTCCTTTCCTCCCACACTATCTTGTTTATTAAGTTCTTTATTCATTGATTTTTTTTAAAGGCATTTTAAAGACTCATTTAAAAAATCTTATTTTTTACTGTTTACATGTCAGTTTATTACATCCTCTGACTTCCTTATGATGATTTACTTTCTCATGTGATTTGTATTTTTTACACTGAGCTTCTCTTCATTGGCTACCAAGAGTGGGATGCTTAAAAACAAGATGTTTAGCTGGGCACCGGTGGTTCATGCCTGTAATCCTAGCTACTCAGGAGACAGAGATCAGGAGGATCATGGTTCAAGGCCAGCCTGGGCAAAATAGTTCATGAGACCCCTATCTTGATAAAACTCATCATAAAAAGGGCTAGTGGAGTGGCACAAGCAGTAAGAGTGCCTGCCTAAAGTGTGAGGCCCTGAGTTCAAATGCCAGTGCCACCAAAATAAAAAAAAACAAAAACCCAAGATATTTTGGAAGTCTGCACTTACTGGTGACGATACCTAGGTTTGTCATGAGTGTGAGTGGACTGTTGAAGTGGGATAGAGGAAAAGATTGGAAGGCTCTTCCTAAAAATCTTTGCTTATCTAGCTGCTTCTGATCAAGAGTTACCTCCTCTGAGCTGGGAGTGTGGCTTAAGTGGTAGAATGCCTACCTAAGCCAGCAGTAGAGCACTTGCCTAGCAAAGGGAAAAAAAAGTCATCTCCTCTCTATCTCCAGTTACACACTGCTTACCCTGCTATATCTTCATAGTACTTTGCACTATCCAGAAGTATATGAATTTGTTTACCATTTGTGGCTGCCTCCCCCGCTGGCCTGTAAGGTCTTTGAGAGCAGGGATTCTTCTTACTCGGTGCTATGCCAAATGGTTATACTGTCTAATAAATATGAGTGAGTTTTCATGCAGGAGGTCTTCTCAGCCCTGATTTTGCAGCTTTACCTGGCCGAGTATGGCCGGGCAGCAGAGAGAGGTGAACAGCTTCCCAGACCTCTGCCATCCACCCTGTGTACTTCAGCTTTCTTCTGGCGTGTGTTTACACAGCTGCCAAAATTTCTAGAAGGAGTTTGAGTGCAAGAAGACCTGGGGGAAAAAGGGCACGAAACCC